TCAGCTGAAGCGACACCACCGTGAACCATCTGGAAAAGCTTCGTGTTGGAATCTCCCATACAAAATCCGTGTTTAGGTGCCGGAAATGACGCTACGCTTCTCCTTACATTCGGGATAGTGGCTCATCCCATTTCCCCTGCAACATACATGTTTTCGGCCAGAGTTGCACCGTCCATTCCTGGGAGCAATTGATAGTCAACAGATGTGTGTGGTCCCGAATCTGGTTGTCAGACCGAACGTAAATCCAGATGCAGTTGAAGCTGCCGAGGAGAGCAGGTACGGCTGCCCAGTCTCATGCTGCCTGTCAACTGGTGCGGATGGCTTGTGGGTGCTTTCATGTAGTACCGAATATGTTGTGATGTCTGGTGCGAGGATGTGCGAAAGGGGAGCGCCGAGGATGTTGCTCAAAAGAAAAGAGGGTTGGCGAAACGCTTTGTTTTGTGATCATCAGACGTTTAGCGGTCACTTTAAAGATTTGTTTGGTCCTTGTGACCGTGGGCTGGCATTCGAACCGCGCTCAGGTCCAGTAGGAAACCAGATGTAAGAATCTGCTATGTTTCATGGAAAAAGACAAATCTCACTTGCAGGAAGGACGTCAAAGATTAGCACATGATGTGCTTGCATACACCTGTTAGTTTTATAACTTTTCGGATATTTTTTTTCAGCCAAATTAAACTTTCAAAAGAAAAGGGCGATTTTGCGTGTAGTCTATGGTCTATGCAGGACCCCATGTGAAAAACAGTTTTACACGTTCAATTAATACGCGGCACGTTTGTTTGTGCACAAACTGGTGAATTGTAGGTTTTCTGTAAATTTGTTTGTGTGGTACGCATAAGCGAAGTCAAGCTGATGGAATTTTCCTGTACTTTTCTGATCGTTTAATAGCGGATTTCATGTCCTGCTATCGCGTTACATGATTTTGTCTGTTTTAGATTTGAGGTTGAATTATGCCGCATAAAACTTCGGCCGGGCAATTGGACAACCCGGGTTTGCTGTACCAAATCTCTAATACTCTGAATCTAGACCCTTTGAGAAACAATGCACCTCAGAATTTGGGAGCCAACATTGATGATGTTCGCCATATGGAGGAGAAAATGCTTCGACTTCTCGAAGATTTTGAGGCTGGGAAAATAGTTTCCGTTGGTATTCCCGTTTGTCATCCTATCTTTCTGCGAATCGAATATTGAAGTGCATCTTTTCTAGGTGCCGATTGCCCCTATGACAAGTTGGATGCTGTCAGGGAACAACAAGAGGAATTGATGCGACTGCATTTTGAGTTGGATAATAAAATGCAGGGCACAACTGGTCCTATCTCAGGTCGTAATCGACAGCAAGCACGACGGTATGCTTGCGTTTCTGTGATAATATTTGACTATTTATTAACGTTAGAGGTTTGTTTGATAGCATAGATTTCTGCTTACACTTGTTTGTGGCCGAAGCTAAGCGAGGGAAGTCTACCTGCCTGGAAATACTAGCCTCATTTTTGATTTTTTTCCCCTTTTTACCGTCAGTTTATTAATGGAGGAAGGGAGGAAGACGTCAAAATCGAACTTGTCGACTCTGGTGAACAAATTGGAGGCTCTGAGTCACTCAATGTATGTTCAGCTTCTGGATTTTCAACGTGTTTTCCCTTCTCTTTTGTAGTCAAAATCTACATAACCAACCAAAGACGTAAAACACTTGATGGCTACTTTCTTAACCTAGCAGAATGTGTGAATATATTTTTATTTCAATTTGATTGTCCTCTGTACCGCAAGTGAAATAGTAGGGTTGGTGGCAGATTTCGGTGTAAGGAGTTGGGGGTGTGGGGTTTCATCTGCTCGGGTCCTTTTCGGCGTTGTACAACTAACTTTCTTGAGGTAGGCATCGTTCTGGTTCCTGCCAAGGTTTGTCTAGTTCTAATTGTCTAAGGCGTATAGTGGTTGGGAGTCTGGTAGGTGTGGGGCCATCTCAGCCAGTCGGGCGCGCATGATATGTCAGCCGCGTGACTTTCGCAAACTTCGCGGTTGTAGCCTGCGCAGTTTCTTGGTTTGTTTCATCGAAACAGGTTAAGCAAACACACATAATGGTATTGAGTCTGCAAAGTTACCTCTTTCATCTGCAGGATCATGAAACGGTTGTTTAAACATGCAGGAAAGCCTTGTCAAAATACAAACACTATCCGCATCTCGGATTCTCCTATGTTATAATACTAAATTCCTTTTTAGTTAGGATTTGTAGAAGAACTTAAAGATCAATGGATTCGCCTTATAGCGAAATACCAAGGCGACACGAAATCAGCCAATCAGCAGCGTGGGTCTTTATCCACTTTGCCGCCGACAAGGCGATGGTCGAGTTTGGTCGGTGTCTTGTCATTGCTGGACTTGTCACATTGGTACACGCCGCATATTCCGCCATACAGCGTTGGTTATATTTATCCTAATTGGATTTTGTATAGATCGCACTTATCTCAAACTCACTGGAACTCACTTTGACTATTTACCACCTGACGTAGTGTTTATTTTTCTCCTGATGTATAGAGTTTAGATTCTTTGGCAAACCATTATTGGGTTGATAGTTACAATCGCAGGTGTGGTTCGTGTTGCCGGTGACTTTACATTGATAAACACCACAACCGATCCTCGTAACAGGTACTTCTTTTCCACATAATTTTCTTTGTAGTTCTTGGGATTCTTTTGGTAATCGTCCATCGTTCTACGCCTTTAATCACCGTCCCTCACTCGTTGCTGAACTCCACACTTCAAAATAGTGAACGGATGGTGTTGCTAACAAGTCTCTCCGGACCGGCCACTGTCTCGTGTCTTTCTTTATCAAGTAAACTTTTTGCTTGTGGCTTCGAAAATGGCAGCATTCATCTCACCTCTCCGAATAATTATGCTTCCCCCACCATTCTATCTCCATCCTCGAGACCCTGCACAGCTATTGCTTTAGCGGGAGACGACTCCGACATACTTTACTCTTCCCATAACGGAAATATAGCCTTTTGGGATATTCGTAAACACCAGACTCCATTGAATGTTTGTAAGGTCAGCAATGACGATATAAATTGCATTGACGTGAACGCAGGAGATGGGTGTCTTGCCACGGCGGATGACGTTGGAATGGTTTCTTTGATTTCCTCTTTAACCGGGGAGGTCATGTGTGTCTTAAATAATCATGACAATATCTGTTCGGCCGCAAAATTTCGTCCTACACGGCAAAATCAACTCATTTCGTGCGGCATGGACTGTCGTCTTGTTGTTTGTGATTGGAAGTCTGGGGATCGCGAGCGTATAGTCATAGAAATGACCAAGCTCGTTGATCCTTGTAATTATTTCAGGTTGTTGCGCAGTTGTGTAAACGAAGGGAAAACTTACCATAGGAGAAGAGGGAGAAACGGTGAGGATGTTTTTTCAGTTCGTGTAAGTTTCAGCGATGCACCCGCTTCCTATTCAAACTGCTCCTTTTTGTTGATGTTTCGAAGCCTATATATTTTGCCTTTCATTCGCTTGGTGCTTATTCACTCATTTCCAAATACTGGGATGGCGACCATTTTTTAAGCCAATATATACCCTTATTTATTGCTTGTGGTAGTTTTTGTACTAAATTTGTGCACATGGGTTTTGGCAAAAATACAGAACTGCACATTCTCATAACGCTGATAATGGAGTTGTTTAGATATTCTACTATTTTATATGTATTGTGAACTGCAAACGATGCAGGTACGCGTTTAATTCAATCTCCGTTTTAAAGATCGCTTCGTCATTTACGCCCGAGGAAGTAGAGCAGATGGTGAAAACTCGTGCCTACAGCCAGAGCCTCCTTCTCAATCCACCAATGATTCACAGCCTCGGATGTGATGATTCGGGCAAATATGTTGCCGTCGGTCTTGGTAATGGTGCTGTTGAAATATTTAAGGATGACAAGAATTTCCGACATGTTGAATCCCTCCTTGGTCACAGGCGATCGGTCTCTGCTTTACTGCCTGTTGGAGTATGTATTTTGTGCTTGCATATAATTGTTTTTGAAGCGGAAGATCGATTGGTTTTAAGCTTTTGAACCTGGATTGTATGTAGTGGATGTTAATGCCAAAGCAGCGCCAAATGTCCACCCATATTCAATGCTAGATACAAATGATTTGTCCCTGAAAGTGGTGATGAAATTGGCTTGAAGAGCTAGTTTTGGCTACACTATGTGCTTTTTTTTTCAAACCCAAAATCAGTGTTATGCCAGTGTGAAGTGTCTCTAGATCGTCTTGTTTTTGTACCTCGATATGCGACGCACTCAGTGCAGGTTTTATTTTACGACAAATTTTATACTTGATGGCTGCATCTCGTGCTTTAGCTATTGGGACACCACCTGACCCAAGTTTATTTTACTTTGGTCCACCACATCTTTTCCCATGTCTAAATTTAGGATGGGGAACAGTTTTAAAGTTGTCATTATGTGGTCTTTACATTCAATACTCTGAGGCTATAGTTAGATGTTGTCTGATCGACCCAAATCCATGCTCTTCATTGCTGATTGAGGCAATTATCCTTTTCCTTCCTCTCGCAGAGTTCCCATCTGCTAAGTGGTGGTGACGACTGTTGTCTCTTTCTTTGGGAGATGTCCCGTAATGGCACTGGCCAGCGATTTGTTCATTCGGAAAAAATTGGTGCTCTTGCTGGTCGTGAACTTGGTCGGGTTTTTGTGGCGGACAATACATCTGATGTTAAGGTAAGTTCATGGTCAGGATGAAAATCACAAATAAGCACGCCGATATTATGTGATTTCGGTTGTATTGTAGGTGATGGACCTTGTGCGTGCGTAATCAACTTCTCCAAGTGTGCTACGTGTTTCCTGTCCAAAATTCTCAATTACCCTACGTCCGAGTCGCTGTTTGAATACATGTTAGTGCTGCAGATTTTTTTTGTTACTTTTCGATTCTTAACACGTATACCCAGTGGGAAAAGGGGTCTGGGTTAAGCACATTGTTAGCATGGCGATAAAAGAAGGAAAACGGTCTTAAAGTAGGGAGGAGGGGGTTGGAATTTCATGATTCATCGTTGTGGGTTGGAATTTCCGTACGACTAAAAATAGAGGGTGAAGTACTTCAGATGTCTTGGAAATTACGCTCAGATGGGGTTCCAAGTCTGCGATTCTTGGGTACGCTACAACGCAGTGGAAGCATTGGCTGGTGCTAAAGGCTTGATTGATTTGTAGCACCTTGTTGGTGTGACGGCCTTCATGACTGACGTTTAAGTTTTGTTTAGCTCTTGTACATGTGAGCTGGCCTTCCGGCCTAATCAAAGCAAGATCCGTCCTCTTTCTCTTCTTAACGTCTTCCTATACCTGATGAATGCCCTCGGTACACTACAGTGGTGACAGCGGAAAGGGGACTCTACTCTGATACGAGCTTTATCTTGATGTTCAGGATGTGCTACGCATACCTACAGTGCAAGTGAGACGTATAGATTCTTTAAAACAGAAGGGTCACAAGTGACGTATGCGTTTGGCTCTACAGGCAAGCCATTGACTACTGGTGCAACACGGCCTTGAAGCGTCTTTAAAAGTAAACTTTTTGAATTTGGTTGACGATGACGATGCGGCGAGCTCACTTCCTTACGGAATTGTATAGGATCTTGCTTCCCCTTCAAGCATCTGTTTTAGACCAGTGTCCAATTATTTCCCGCACAAAGTAGGAAGTCAACAGGAGTGTGCAATCCTGATTACTGCTCTAAGACGGAACTCAAATTTAACTGCAGTTAAAGCTACTGAGAAAGCTAAATACAAACCCACAGTATGGTTCGTATTTCTTTGTTTATACAGCAACTTGCGTTAAAAGCGGTCGAATTATTGCTCATCTTGCTTCTGTGCGCGATGTCTAGCTTTCTGAACATATCAAAGCACGATCAATCCCTCTTATTGCCGTATTCAAGACTTCGGTCTAGATTAGTGACTTCATTTTTCCTGTGAAAAGTCTCAAAAGTCACGACACAAGTGTGACTATCTGACGTTCGGCAGTCACTTTAGGATTTGTCTAGCACTTGTACTCAAGGGCTGGCCTTCGAGCCATGCTCAGGCTTATTTGTTTTATCCTCTTCGAATTCATGTACCCAGCCCCACTTATTGCCTTCTCCCACTTTATGGAAAGTCTTGAGATGCTTATATTTAATACGTGAAATTAAACAAGTTTTGTGAATCTGGCGCAATTTAAGCAAAACTTTAATAATAATGTATTATTTCAAAAACTTTTTGCCACCACAGATTAAAAAACATTGTTGTTACCTAATACAGCAAAAAATAAATAATAATTGTAGTTAAAATTGAATATGAACTAAATTAACCTTGACTTGTTTAACAGGCCCAATTATCCCCTACCCTCGGCAATGTTAAATCTTATGCTGTGGGGCGATTGGTGCAATTGTATTTCTGGTTCATGGTACTCGAAAACGTATGTCATCAAGAGACGCATTTAAATCACTCGACTCAAACGAAAGGGAATTCGATCGAGTTTGCATTAACCTGGATGTTCTCATTGAAAGCAAGATAAATTCATATTCAGAAAGGGAACAGTTTCGCAAACTCCTGAGTAAATTAGCTTCGATATTTTCCGACACATCATTGAAGGCCCAGGCTGCTTATGAAAATTTATCAAGGCTTGAGGTTTTGCATTTTCCTTAGTCATTTCCCTTAGGCACGTGAGATAATGCTAGCTAGCGATCTAGAAACCGCCGTCGCAGGAAAATCGTTCTCAGACAAAGAGGTGGAATATCTTTTGCTTGAGTTACACAACCTGCAGCTAAAGTCGTCCTTTACAAATGGGTCAGACACTTCAGCGGAAAATGTGAAACGCTCATTGGAAAAACAGCATGAAGAAAGGAAAAACCAATTCATAATGGGTGATCGATTGAGATCTGCGATTGCAATCATGACGAAAGAAAATTTGGAGCTAAAAAGATACATTTCTGCTTTGCAGGTGCGAATATTAAAATACGACATGTATGGTTTTATTATTAAAAATGCCATGGTATTCCTCTCCTTGCGCTTGAAAAGGAAAAGCCGGTGTCATAAATAAATAATTACCTGGAAAGCTTTTTGTTTTAGGATTAATGTCTCTTTGTTTCTTTACAAGGATGAATTGTATGGCACAAGGATGGCAGCTAAGTACCTATACAAGGAACTCACAGGTCGGATTCAACAGATCCAGCTCTTATGCCAGAAAATTGATGGACCCCAGTACGAACGATTATGGAACACTCTTGAATCAGAAATACTTCTTTGCAGACACAAGACAGTCAATCGCACTTGCAGGGGACGACTAAATCCACCTCCAGGTGATTTGTGAATGCGCGGCTAAGGTCTTCGAAATGTTTGCTTTTCATAAACACAGCCTATTATCACTTAGGCTTTTAACCATGCGTACGTAGTCCATGCGTCAGTTACTGGCGTCTTTTCGCCCGCTAATCTCCAAGTTGCAGCCCTATGCAACCCTCTGTCTGTCATCTGAGTGGCTTTTAATTTTTAGCGTAGAACTCATGCCGAATTTATTCAGAAAAACACTTGTCCTTCAGACCTTAGGGCACTTAGTAGGCAGTATTTAAAAGAGGTCTAAGCATCTTCCTCCTACTGTCTTTGTCAGCATGAATAACTCACTGTTACTCCCACAGCCACACCACTAAGCTAACAACAAGCATAAAAACCAGTGCTCTCTATTATAACTGTGCATTTAACTCTCCGTAAATTAAGCAGCCGTGTCTCAGCTACATTGCCTGCACTTAATTCTAAGAACCTTCTCTCTACGTCAATTGAACACTTTGAAACAAAAGGGATGTAGCGAGTGGGAGCAGTAGTTTCTTCTTAGTGATAAGCTAACTTGGTGGTATTCCCTCAGCCCTAGTTATTGACCTTTCGGTGTCATTTTTATTTCTCACCTGTCTGTTTCATTACACATACAAAAGTGGGGTCGATCGATGTCAGGAAAAGAGCAAAATCAACACCAAATGAAATACAGGGGAAGTGAGGTCAGCGCTTTCCTTTCTCTATTACTCTCAACGTGTTGATTAGCCCTTATAGTTTACTGTCTGTTGCACATCAGTGCTGGCAACTCATTCAAGGCTGAATGAATAATGAGAGATGATGGAGGAAGGCTCTCCTTATCACACCAATCTCCAGAATCTTGACCCAAATAGTGATGTGATATCTCTTCGAAATCGCGAACACGAATTTTGTAAAGGAGGATTATTGGCATGAAAAAAAATCCATTTCCGGACTGTGATGTTCCGCTACGCATGGTATTCACTACTTCAAAATCCTGACAGGTAGGTTATCAAGCAGTTGGCAGCGAGATGAGACGCGTTTGGGAACCAAACGTGGTACAATCGCATTCACTAGACGTTCAATCGACACTGGATGAAATGCGGATAAATGTTCTTTGCTGCAGTCGCAGTAGCTCACACGCTTGACCCACAATTTCACGTATGTAATAACTCGCCATCGAACAAGCCTCTACCGTCAATAGTCCGAGGCAAATTGACCACTGAATCCATTATTTAGGGTGCAAGTCTGATATTTTTTTACACTTTCCTACCAATGTTGTTTCTTTTTGTTCCTCCTCTTCAAATACTTCAACTGTGTGTATGCGTCGTTAGGCGCCTTTTGTTTGCACAGCTTTGCAGAAGTACTGACACTCGTTCCCTTCGGTCTCGTCCCAGTTCCTTTTTGTTTCAAAAATTGGGAGCAGCACCAAAAGTGAACGCAGTCTTTTGCCTAAAAACACATTTTCCAACTAAATCTTCTATCCACAATTTCGACTTCATCACCGAACTACTACTGATAAATTCGATACCTATTTAAGTAGCATCGCAAAATTGGTTGGAGAATTCAAAGAAACGGATCATTTACAAGTGTATTCCTATGGTATTTATTTACTACCAGCATTTGGCCATTTTTGAGTGTTGCTCTCATACATAGCAACTGAAGCAATTTCCCCTAATGGTGACAAGCCATGGAGCAAATGACATACGGCATTATACCGAGACCATTAAGCTGCCTTTTATCAGGCGTAACGCCGTTCTGATCTGTTTGGTAATTTTGCTGCTCATTACTCGGTGAATGAGTAAGCACATCGAATCCCTATCGTCCTCATCCATCTCTTCACTCTTTATGACCATCCGATCATATCTCGCAGAGGGACGAATAGCGACGGGGAGTGGAACAAAGTGTCAGGCACAAATGGCGTCTATTAGGTGTATTCTAGAGTTGGTCATCTGAGCCTAGAAGTAAGAAGAGTGCATAGAACAAAGAGAATAATCGACATCTTAGCTGAGCTGAGTTGAGAGCACTATCGTGATGGTTGATGGTCAAAATTTTGGTCTTCAGCCTCAATACACGCCGAATTCCTCACCCTCTCCCTCCTCCCCCTCCCCCCCTCCCCACTTCGCCATTCTTTTGAGCCCCATTTAGCACACTTGCACTTTTGTGCTGGCGGAGGAAGGAGGCATACATTTAAAATGGAATGTATGCAGTCGACGCAGAGACAGGATTTTCAGCTACTTGTACGATGTGGAGGCCAGACCACTGACCATGGTTGCCATGGCAGACGAGTCACTTTTAAGTGACTCGTCTCTACTTCTCTGCTGCTAAAAAAAGATTGTAGCAAGTTTTACTTTTCACTCCCAACGTTGTTTACTTCTTTTTTTTCTTTTTTTTTTTGTTAGAATTCGAAATTCTTTGGCTCTTTTTGATACCGCAGGTAAGGAGGTGTGCAATCGAGTGCGGCACGCAACTGTGTATCGTTCGCCCAGCGACGAGTTGGGCATTTCCATTACCGGAGGCCTCGAGTATGGCGTGCCCATTCTCATCTCCGAGATCATTCCCGATCGAATAGTGCAAAGGAGTGGTGAATTTTATGTTGGTGATGCTATTCTCGCTGTCAATGGCAACGATCTGCGTGACAAGCGACATCATGAAGCTGCAGAAATTTTGGCTGCTCAACAGGTATCCTTTCTCCCTCCCTCTCTCTCTCTCTCTCTTTCTCATTTCCTCTTCTCTTTTTTTTTTTGAAGAAAAAATCCAAAAACCTCTCCTCATTATATTGTTTCCTACCGTCTCCTTGTCAGTGCTACACTGCGGGCGGTAAAAAAAGTTGCACCAGTATGAAGGAGTAGTCCAGGGCAGCAAACTCTCTTTCCATGTTTAAATGTGGCGCCCTCCTGAGGCCTCACTTAGGAATGATGGGAACGCGTTAGGAGGCAAGAGTTGTGCGCACAATAGTTTCAAACCACCTAATTTCTCATCCAGAGAACAACAAACACCTGCAAGCAATCATCAGGTCTCAACTATGCGTTAAGAACTTACGAATCCTCATTTTTGTCACCAAAAAGCACGAATGAATGGACGGATGTTATCCCTCCTCTTGCATTTTCACTGACCCAAAACGAGTTGTTGTACCCTGTGCCAAAGAGTTAAACCGTTCTCGTGACTCACATGGAGGCCACTCCACTCCACTCGACATTCCAACACCACTTGACAACACATGAGGTGGATGCTTTTTTGTGCTCCAGACGTAGCAGCAATTCGCACTCCACTCGACGCTCTGTTGTGCCGACTGAGAGGGGCTGTGAATTTGCAAACGTGTGCAACAATTCCTCTACTCACGTGGCACAACCCACCTAGTGTAGTAAAAATTGACATTTTTGTATTTCTTCATGTGCCTCTTGAAATTGTTTTCGTTGCATCAGCGTTGTCTTGCAAAACGGCATCCTTAGCCTTACTCGCCCCACTTGGAAGATGTGGCGGGAGGAATGGAGACGATCGCGAGCATTTTAAGACTTGTGCTGGATGAATGGATTCCTCACCTTCTCCCAGTGACATCTGCATTTTGATTCTGATCCCCTGAGGGTGTCACATTCCACTTACGGATTGTTGTGGGTCACCAGTAACATCAAGGGGAGACCTTTTGAAGCCTCAACCCTCATATCATCATGCGACACTTAAATTTCACATTCACAAAGTCTTCTCACCTCAATTGGCAAAAAAGCGCGACACCTGGAGAGGGTGCTGGAGGCGATTAAGACACCCTCCATAAGTGATACAAGTCAGCAATCATCCATCAACGGAGTCATCTTGCCGGTTTGAAGTGCTTTAATGTTAAAGTGTGTGTAAAAACGGATACTTCAGAATCCTCTGACACGTTGCAGACCTTCTACTCCTCATTACCTCCTTTGTGTTTGCCGTGGGTGGCTGGTAGAATCTCACAAGCTACTGCGTAAGCCGTCTTCTGACTTGCCTTTACGCATGACATGACGAGATATAACTTGATAAAGTGGAATGAATTTTGCAACTCTTGAGCTTGCTTGATGCTTGCAATGCAAAATCATGACACTCATCATGTCTTGCAATAGCAAAGTTGCTAGCACGCAGACCGAGGACAGTGGAGCCCAAAAGAGGCACACTCTTAGGGTAAACATTGGAGAGGTGAGAGGTAATGTGAATGGGCGCTTCCATTCCTTCACGCCTACCAATAATCGCCCACTTCCGTCTAAAAATCGTCCTTTCAGTAAAACAAGTGTTAACTTTTATTGTGAGGTCATAAGAATACGCCATTTCCTCAAATTTGTTTTCCCCAAAGGATGCAAACTCGTGCATTTCACTGCAGTGCATCTACTTCCTCTTGATCTGCAAGTATCATTTCCGTCGCCACTTCTCGTCGCCTCCTTTTTTTTATGTGATGCTCTATGGAGGGGGGGGGAGGGGGGGAAGAAAGTCACTTTTGTTTCATCTTTTTGCTGTTTACAGGTGCATCTGAGGCTACACAGACGTCATACACCTCAACTGCACTTTGCAGTAACGCTGTTCGTCCCGTTTTTTTTTCTGTTTTGTTTTGTAGGGAAAAATGGAATTTGATCTTCTCTTCCTTCATGACGATTCGATGGAGGAGATGGGCCAAATTTGTACCGATTCTCAGGGCAATAGGTAGGCGTATCCCCTTCTTGTTGTCTTCTATCTCCACTAAAATGCAGTTGAATGTATGCAACCTCTGCCATCCTTGATGGCAAGGCATTTGATGTTGAAAGTTTGCTAGCAAATATTTGGAGCAGTATGACCTCGAAAATTGATGCGCAGAGAACGACAAAACAAGTGGTGTCAATAATGCGAGAACTGAGGAAAGAGTAGGAGTCATTTGACAAGCTTCCTGTCTGAAGCTCTTGACATGCTCCGTTTGCCACCGTAGGTTTCGACTCTACGACGAGACGAGAGTTCTTCCCAGTCGTTTCCTCTTTCAAGTCACTCAGCAGTTGAAGGAGGCACAAACAATGTCCAATCATCGGACACCTGAACAGCGTCCAATTATGGAGGAAGTGGCCGAGTATCGCCGTTACCTAGAGAATCGTGATGTTATCTGTCACAAGATTGTTAAGTCTACGAAGTCATCCCCAAGGCGACGCAGTAGTCATGACGACTTCATGAGCATATACGAGAGCTACCTCTGGCGGCCCAACGGTCTGGAGAGGGGACCAGGTCGTGGTGGAACACCGCCACCGGGCGCAGAGAAACTGAATGGGATGCCTCTGCCACAGATACTCGCTTCTCAAACGGTGTCCACACCTTCGGCTCTTCCTTAGGTTAGTGGCAATGACGACTACTCATTTTTTGTTTTGGTTATATTACTGCTGCCAACACGTCGATTTGGCCGTTAAAAATCGCAGTGTTGCAAACGTATGACATAAGCTAACAGCAAATTCTTTCGATGACTGATCACTCCAATTCGTGTCAGTGACAACTCAACCGATAAATGCATAATTTTTTTTTTCCGTGCAGCGTCTAAATTGACCGACCCAGTGAGTAGCACAAACCAGCAGCGTAGCACCAAAGCGGAGGCAGTTGATCTCCCCTGAGACACCAGCGACAAACTAACTCAATCCCACCCTATACTAAAAGTAATAACATAAAGAAACAAAATTGATAGCAATATAGGCTATGCTTTGCTTTTTCCAGCTACTCCCCACATCATCGCACTTTCTGGATGTTGGCAGGTGAAGAGCACAAAAAACATGTTCTGATTAAATCAACGCAAATTTAGAGCATCGACAATGTCCCCCAGGAATTCAGCCTATCGCTGTGATTCAGGCCAACTGAAGATTTATGCACGTCTAGTCGACAACGCACGCATCCATTCCGCCCTCCAACCTGAACACCGGATTAGACCTCAAACAAATAGCAAATTAAAAAAGTCGCCAACTCATGCAACACCTTAGTTGTTCGTGCATTTGCAAAAATTCATCAAAGCGAAAAATGCTTTGACTGTAAATAAATTTAATTGTGTTTTTTAGGTAAAGGGCGAAAAGGCATCAAATGCGTACCTGACATCATGAATGTTGTCTTAATTGCATCACTTTGTCTGTATTTTATAGTAAAATATAAGATATCCAATGCCTATTCCTACATGTTATTAATTTTACACTTGTTTGTATGCAAGATTAATGAGGAAGCAAAGTTTTTTTCTGGCTCAGCTATTGGACATTAGAGAAGAAGCTTATCAGTTTCTGTTTCAAATTATTCGATAGTTGCGCTGTTCATGCTGTAGCCTCTGCATCTCCATCGCTATAACCTTTCTTGCCTGGTTCTTCAGGTTGATGTCTACTTGTGGGTGCTTTCTTTGGTATCAGGACCGATTTGGATGCCGCATCGATCACAGCGTCAAATTAACCTCCCACTTTTGCCCTTTTGGGTTCATTTCAAGCAATAGGTAGACACTGAAGATGCTATCATCGCTTCCTTCCATCTCTATGGGATCCTCCTTAGTACGCGAGCTCTGACTAGCTTGTGACGGGTTTTTGTCCAAACGGGCTAACTACAGCTCATATGGGGGTGTATAGATGAACTCTATCCTAAATCAGGTAATTTGACTTTCTTCAAGATTAGAGGGCTCTAGTTGTAGCACTTTGTGGGTGCATTTTTAGAAGCACAGCTGTTAAAATCGCTGTAAGAGATTTTGAGTTTAATGCGAACTTTTCATTCATTGCATTTAATTGCTTGAATATCGTGAGCAAGGATGCATTACATTGTATCATTGGCTGTCTCTATCATTTGTCCAATAGGACAATGGCAATGGAACTCATCACCACTCTCTGCCTGAGTACACAATCTATTCGTAGGACATACTTCCTAATACTTTTTACTTCTACTACACTTTCTGTAGGAAATGCCTGCCTACCCTCATGCCTTTGAACCACGGGCTTCAAGAGAGAGTTAGTTACAGTTGGTTTATTAGGCATTGAAAAGAGGAAGAACGGGGATGGGGGTACAGATGAGCCCAATAGAAGATATCACTGGAAAGAGATTCCTCACGGTCCTTGCGCACGGGATTCGCGTTCCAAATTCAGTTCCCACCTCTCCCCTATAAAGGTCCACATAATCACACACACTTTCTACTATCTTCTTCGTGTGTGTCTTTGAGTCTGTAATAGTGGTTTCTCCAGGATCTACCGTCTGTGAAATGTGCATTCCAGTAGAGGATTTTGCTCACGTTCCGCTTTGGGTGGACGTGTTTTGGGTGCTTTAATTAGATAGTTATTGCATTATATTAAACGCCTAATGAACCCAAACTAGAGAGTCTGGTTTAAAGCTTTGGTTATGTGACCACCTGCATGACTAACGGACACTTTTGGTTCTTATACTGCTTTGGCGTGCGCGGACTGAGAACTATCCCCCCCATTTCTCCGTAAAAACGTGCATTCACACTCATCTGATCTATTTGTCTCTTCTGTAGAAAACCTCCTAATTCTATATTCTAATTGATAATTGAACATTGATAATCTCCCCCCTTAAAGAAGGCAAAATATTTTAAACAAATTAGCAGTATCCCGTGTCTACGGATATGTATTTGTATGTATGTACATGCATACAGATATATACATATATGTATGTAGATGAGCTGGAGCTTTGGAGAGTTCCGAGGGCCAAAGCACCCATACGAGTCAATGTGACAGACAAGATGTCACCTATAATATAGGCTTGAATACACACTAGTTGTTCAAATTTTACTTTTTATGCGAGAAGGGAATGTCAGTGCAAGCTCTTCGGTTGTGGATCCCTAACCAAGCTAGCGTGAACGATTCTCTGACAGATACCAATTTTGTCTATAATAATTTATCATGCAAATATGGCCAATATGCACCAGAACAGGTCTTTATCTATGAAGCAGAAATAAAGAGTTAAGAATGAAGAATGATTATTAATACATGAGTCGTATAAAGCTCTTCATGAACAAAATTCTGACACCTAGGGACTTGAATAAAATTCCCCGCCCGCAAAGCGCAATATATACATTAGACTGCTTAGGGAATCTGGTGGCTACTTAAATTCTGCTGGTTTGGATGCCTTCATACAAGGATAAAGCTATTATTTTAATCCTATGTTAAAGTACAATTATTCTATAAAGCATTATGTCCCCTCCTGATAATGGAAAGATTCGAGATGTTGCATCAGGGACTTGTTATTGAAATTATAGTAAAATCGCTAATATTCGATCTTTAACGTTCGCTCTACCTTGTTACACTTTATCGTTGCAAGTCGCAAAATTACTTGAAGTGTGGGTTAATAGTTAAAGCAAACTGCATGCAGAAATGATCGCCAAAATTGTTAAATAAAATCATGTTATCAAAAATAATTTTTAAGTTTATAAAAAATATTTAAAATGATTTTATTTGTGAAAAATAAATGTAATAATCGAATATGTTGTTAATTAAAAAACCAGATTTTGTTTTGTTGGATCAACCAAAAAATTGCAAGCCATTGCAGTTTCGGTTTTGTCATTATTTGAACGGTTTTCTTTTTGTTACGCCTAGGTTGCGCTGATAAGCAGATCTAATTTTTTGAAAAATATTAAAAAATTCATGCGTTTTTGGCAGTCGCACATATCAGTGAATTTACTATGGGAGACGAAATTAGTGATTATACAAGCCAATGCAACTCGGAATCCTTTTTAGAAAGTATCAATATCGACACAGGTTAGGGGTTGCATTTTGTGAATCGCTTCTTTTTTTCTAATTCTTTGCCGTTTGCTCGATATTCCCGCTTTAAAAATGTCGATTTTATTTTCTTATAATTTCTACTATAATTGGCATAGTAGTATATTAAGTATTCGTCTAGTACTATTGCCCTGTTAATTGTCCCTCTGCTCGCTACTGTGACCGCAGGGTTACCCTCACTTTTTGCCCTGTTCGTAGGCGCCGAAGAACAGCCGAAATTTGTGGTCAATCTTGATAGTAAGCCTACATTTGTCATTATCGCGTAACCTCTTAGCCCTTGCCGATGTCCCCGCTACTCAACCACCTGGAGATCAGAATGCTGGGTCGCCCAAAACCCCCTCCTCGTCTTCGGCGCCCATTGCGCCACAATACACGCCTTTCATGCAAATAGGAAAGCCAAAAGTTCGACCTCGTGGATCCTACAAACCGCTGAACGAGATGTGAGTTTTAATGGCCTTTGGTGCCTCCATCTTGTGGCTTATGCTCTTAGTGTTAATAATTTACGGCTTATATTGACATTATTTTGCTACCATTGCTTTATCTGGCGCCTTTGAAAACAATGTGTGACACATGCTACTGAAATAATCCCAAATTTGACCTCATGTTTGTCACTGGGTCGTTCTGTTGCGAGACTGTGTGTTTGTGCTATTTTCGCCGCTTGCACGATTCTGTGATAGTCGTGGTAATGTAATTTGTGCGTTATTTCTTATGAACGCCGAATACAGTGGAATAACTTTGGGCGCCTTGTGGCGTGACGCACTTTACTGAACTGCTTGGTTTTTCATTCGTTCATAGTCTTCTTGATGCAGAATTTTGTATATTTCATCCGTACCCAATTGGTCCACTGGTTATAATGTGTGCTGCATGCCAGCTAGCTGCATTGTTAAAACTGGAGGAAACGATTTTTGTCTAATTCTTGTCTTCAAGACAATGTCGACTCCTATATTCCCACATTTCCTAGTAGGCCGGTTGACCGTATGGTGAGTTGTCTCAATTTCAACGTATGATTTATGAATTTGCCTTGTCTTGGCAGGTCCGTCGTAAGCGAGAATTCTATTGAACACAAGGTAGTTGTTAGTATCTCGTTGAGGATTTTAAATGGCTTTTTCGTCGTGGTGTTTGCGTCCGGTTCTAAGGCTTGACTTGATTTTCTGACTTACTGTTCGCTAAACGGTCCTTTATCTTATGTATCTTTTCTATTCTAGCAACTTTGTATTAATTGGGATTGGTAATTTATGGGGCTCATGGTGGGTGTGCAGGATTTGGAAACCTAGCTTTTAATCTCGCCCTATCACATGGTTTGTTCTGCTGAAAACAAAGCTGACTGATAACCCATCCATAAACCGCATTCTCAGATTTCTCCCTTGATCCTGTTTGGGCCTTTCTACCTGTATAAGGTTTCACATTTCTGGTTTTCTGTTCGGTGTTGATTTATAGCCTTGTTTATTGTTTGAATTCTTCGCTTGGAATTGCTGCAGGCATTGTGATGTGAACATATTCTGCAGGAGGCATTCTTATGTTAATTTTAAGAACAGTGCATAGTGGAATCATAGTATTTTTTGTACGATTCTTCTACTTTCCATTTTAGAGTTGAAACAAGAATTCGGACATATGAGGGATCTGATTCTCACACAAAAATTTCCACACTTCAGGCTCACTTCCCCCAATTTAAGCGATGTCACATTGACCGATGTTTCACAAAAAACCTTCTGGATTTCAACAAGACCTATGCCGAGCTTTTGGAATTGCATAATAAACAACAGGAGGAACGTGCTAAATTTAAACTCATTCTAACTCCCAAATGTAAGTCTTAGCTCACAGTCATGCACACTAGAAACTAGCCGTATTCTAATTTGGTATTTCTGTTTTTTCAAGCTGAAAAGCCGAAACCCTCTCGCATAATCCCAAACATTAAGTCTCCTGAGTTAATTAACATGCCTTCATTCCGCGGTCGACCCGCTCGAAAGTTGGAGAATAAGTACTACCGTCGCGTTATCGTCGGAAAAGATGGCTCAGTGGAGGCTGCCGAAGTGACTGAGCGTAATTTTGTACGGCAGGTAGACCCACATAACCTGTTGGTAGCGCGACAGAAGCTTGCTACACCAAAGAGCATATCCTACCCCGGTATGCCTGGTGGTGAATTCAATTTGAATGAATCTGCCGAAGAGGCCTCCAAACCAACGGTCGGCTCTATCCATGTACGCCCTTAATTGCACTAACTAATGGCTCACGACCCTTGGTTATTACCAGATTTTACCTAATGCGCTGCTCTTGTCACGAAGCGCGGGTGGCACATTTTTTATATTTTGTGGCACCTTTATGCGGGTTTTAACTGGCTTGGGCAGTTTATGCAATATTTTGACTTTTAATAGCACTTTCGTATTGTTTCGCCGGTCTGCTTGGTGAGAAGTTGCTCTGATCAAAATTGAGGTGTGGGAATAGTGTAGATTTACGGTCAGTGCTACTTAAGAGTCCACAGTAGGGTGTTGTAATCTTGTGAAACATTCGAACACGTTCTCTGATTCAGCTTCGATCACTTAAATAGGTATGTTGATCGTTGTTGTGAATGCCTTGATTATTGAACTCATGGGAGTCTATTTCTGTGTTTGGATCACTTGCGATCTGGTAGTTCAAATTCCATTTTGTTTTTGAACTTACTTTCATTATATTATCGGAGGCCGGACGACTTTTATTTCGTCCATTGTTGGCTTCCGTGCTTTTCCTACCCAGACACTTTGAGTAACACGATATACGTATTAAAACAATCACTTTTAACTTTATCTCTATTTTTCACCACCAATTTAGATGTCACTACAGTATTCTACATCTCTGTAAAGACCAGTATAGCAAAAAATTTGTACTTATCGACACACGCACACCATCCTTGTTTGTACAAAATTGGGAAGGCTTTGGGTGGTTAGAATGGGATTTGAATGGAATTGTGTCTTATTGCTATTCCATGGAAGTTAGTGAGGAAAAACCCATCTCCGAATAATTTGAACTCTTCAGACACGTTTTTATCAATCCAGGTGGCGGCAGCAACATCGAATATGAATAAAGCAGTGGAAGAGGACGCATCAGCTACTAAAACCGGGGAGCCTGATAAGTCAACTTCTCCAGCATCAGGAAAGGAGACAGCAAAGGACAAGGAGACACAGGAGAAGATAGGCAAAAGTCAATCGGGCAATAAGTTTTTCCGCAGTAATCGGCTCTCTGATGCTGAGCTCAAAAAACGTGACTATGTTGCTAAGGAGCTGCAAGCGGCTGGGCGAGTTACTCGTTCGTCTGTGGTTAAAGTAGAACCATCTGGTGGTAGTGGTGAGGCTCCTGAGGATGAGGCTAATTTCATGGCTGGTATTGGCGTCATCAGCACTCCTGGTGAGTTTGCTTAGTCCTCACTGCAAAATGCGTCAACGTGAGACTCATTCATCTCGGTTTTGATAATTTAAAACCAAGCGCAGCATTATTTTGTTTTTGTCTGTTACAACCTTTCATTTTGGTCCACAGCACTAAAGCGACAATGTGGACGCAGAAGTGGGCGTGGGAAGTCATCATCCCGTCCTCAAGAAGACGTTTCCGAGGAACCCGATGCTCCTCAAGAGGAACCAGACGAAGTGGATGATGTGCGTTTATTTTACTCTTTTGCGAATTGACTCGAGATACTTTTGATAACATAAAAGCAATACGTTTTAAAATCAATAGTTTGGATTAAGGAGAGAAGAACGGAAGGCTCTCCTTACATTTTTCAATGAAGCTCCATTAGAGGAGCTAAATCTCATGAACGGATGCTCACAGAAGACCGCGGAGGTGATAATCAATTTGCGGCCCTTTAATACTGTTGTGGACCTCAAACTACGTCTCGATGCCACACGCTACCTCTCCACTTCTCTCATAGATGCTTGCAAGGAGCTTATGCAAGCTCGTTCTATGTTTACCTCAGTACTGAAGAGCTGTGAGGCCATCAGTCAACGGGTGGAATCGAGAATTGCAAGCCTCCTTGCTGACGACTCAGTTGATTTGCCAAAAGAAGGCGGTGATCTGTCACGAAACAAGAAAACAGGGTTTCTTCGTGAACAACCTGTCATTCTACATCCTCTGTAAGTTCTTCGATTTATCTTCATTAACCTCATTCACCGTTCTTTTCATCATTCAGACGCCAGTTGAAACCTTACCAGCTGGTCGGTTTGAACTGGTTGCGCATCCTCCACGACGAAGGTGTCAATGGTATTCTGGCTGACGAAATGGGATTGGGTAAGACGGTTCAAGCGATCGCACTGCTGGCCTACCTATACGAGCAGGGTGAACGCGGTCCCCATCTCATCATGTGCCCTAGCTCGACTGTTGATAACTGGCAGCGTGAGCTAAGGAACTGGTGCTCCCAGCTTAAAGTCCTTGTCTACCAGGGCACTGCTGACGTACGTAAAGCGATGCGGTTAAAGATCTATGAGGGTCAGCAAAATGATTCGCGCCCAGATTTCAACGTACTCCTCACCAGCTATTCGACAGCTACAAGCACTCTGGAGGATCGTGCGCTGATGAAGCGTGTGGACTTCAAGTATGGAATCTTTGATGAGGCACATATGCTGAAGAACATGACCACGCAGCGCTACAAGACCCTTTCCAGCTTCCAAATTCAGCGGCGTGTACTTCTTACTGGCACACCACTGCAAAACAACTTGATTGAGCTAATTTCCCTCCTCGCCTTTGTCATGCCTGACCTCTTTGCTGGTGGCAATGCTGATCACTTGAAGCGTATGTTTCAGTTGATGAGCAAGTCGACCACGAACCCCGGCGCCTCCAACACCGGCGGCGGTAGCGATCAGGTGGGCGAGCGGAGGATCGCCGATGGACGAGAGAGTATTGGAGCAGAAGGCGGCAAAGGCACCTCCACTTCAATCCTTCTTGGGAATCGTAGTCAATTTGAACGGGAGAGGGTGGAACAGGCGAAACAACTGCTCAAACCGTTTTGCCTGCGTCGACTGAAATCTCAGGTACTACAACAACTCCCACCTAAGACAGAGGAGACAGTACGCGTTGCGTTCACAGAAAGTCAAAGGATTGCGTATACCAATTTGATAAACAAGTTTAGGAATGCACAAGGTGCTAGTGCAGCAGACATGGCTTCCGATGTGGGGGAGGATGAGGACATGTCTACAGTGAAGCAACAGAGCAGTTTTCTTCTTTCTAAAGTTGGCGTAACGAATGGGGCGGCGAAACGGGCAAAAATCTCCCTTCTGGATACCGGTAAGATCAGTTTGCCTACTTTGCCACAGTCACTGGATCTTCGTCTTCATTTCAATTGTCGTGAATGAATCTGCTTCAGCAACTGGAGGTTTGGAGCGTTTCAGTGGGGTTGAGCGTCTATCACCCTTCAATATGCTGATGCAGTTAAGAAAGGCGGCCAACCATGAACTTTTGTTGCCGGGCATCGCCTACTCGGACGACACGCTGAAGGAGATCTCAGTGATCCTGCACAACGATCCCAGCCATTCGGATGCGGACCCGACGTTAGTGTTGGAGGACCTGTGCAACCTGTCCGATCATCAGATTCACAAAGTCTGTCGTCTTTATGATGTGAGCAATTTCTCGGAGTTATTATTTATTTAGACTTCAAAGGAGTTAAAAAACTTGGGTTTCCTCAATGCGTACTCTAATCTTAGCAGTATTTATTGGCTGAAATAAGTCAAAGTCGGCTCTACAAAGAGGCTCACTTGACTCTGAAGTATGCTTCATCAAAGGTTACGATTCTTCTCCTTTCCTATTTTAACGCTTTTCGATGATACAGTGTACTCTGCTGCCTTCAGGTGCTGAATCCATTCGCCCTTCCACCGGAGACCCTGGTGAATGGCTCAGGCAAGGTTAAGTGGTTAGACGATAACCTGACGGAGATGCTGAAGGAGGGTCATCGAATCCTCATATTCAGCCAGTTCGTGCTGGTTCTTGATATTCTCGGCGAATACCTTGTGAATAAGGGCCACAAATTCCTCAGGATGGACGGTTCAACGGCTGTTAACGATCGCCAGACTCTCATAGATACTTTCAACAAGTGAGGAAAAGCGTTAGTGAGCCTGCATTTTTAAGGGCTCTACTTTTGGCTCTATATGCATACATTAGTAAGGAGTGTTTTCCATTGGCATCAAGGGCCGTAGCGATAGCTTTCTTGGTCGAAACCTTACCTATCTATGACCATGGAGACAATTACTCATTCAGTTTGATTCAGTTTTGATTCATTTGGCTCCCTCCAGTACTGGTGGGTTTGGCCATGCTCCATACCCAGGCTAAGTTATTCTCCTCCTTTAAACTCGCTCAAAGTGACACGAACATTTAGAGGGAGCGAGTTCTGTCTCCTCATTAATAATCTGATGCAACGAATTATTCGTACTCCGTATTAGTGTCAGTTGAGGGTGGGCTAAAGCATCCTACATTTAAGGTCAGCGTCATACTAGCTCTTGTGGGCATAGCAACAGCTGTTGGTTTGTGGGCTGATTTGCGAGGGCGTGATTGGGATAGCCGTCATCGCCTTTGCATGCGCATTCGTACGCGGTGGCCTTGGCGGGAGTGGCAGGCTTGCGATGAAACTGATTTAATTGTGATGGCAGCGCCACTAACCCCACCATGTGAATGCTGACTTCAACGCGCCGCAGCAGTCACTCTTCCCCATCGCATTGGTACCTCGACGGACGAAAGTGAATTGCGAGACAAGGAAGTACTTACGAGATTGTTTTGTACCGCCCAGGGAGGAGGCCTTTGCACCTTACAATTCGAGAAGATAGTACAAGGGTGTAGACGTACTTCAATGTCCTGAAATGAATGCAGTATTCTTGTTTTAACGGGAAAGTTGCAAAGTGAGCAACTTCTGATGCCGTTGTGCAACTGTGCGCATACGTGCAGTGTTTATGATTGCTTTTCGCTGTCTGCCATAAGTCGTCTCTCATAAGTTGGACTTTCCCTTCACAGCGACGAAACCTACGACATATTCCTACTCTCCACAAAGGCCGGTGGTCTGGGTATTAGCCTAACAGGTGCAGACGTGGTTATCATCCATGACGTCGACTTTAATCCCTACAACGATCGCCAAGCCGCTGACAGGTGCCATCGTGTGGGTCAAATGAAGTAAGCTTTTCCATTACCATGCTAGTGGTTCTCTGTTTCCCTCGGGTGTGTGGAGTCTTTGTGTTTGTGTGTTTGTGTTTTATTTAGGCCTGTACGTGTGATTCGCCTAATTGCGGAGGGTAGCGTGGAGGAGAGCATTTGGCAAAACGCAGAGGAGAAACTGCGATTAGAAGAGGATGTGACAGGGTTTGACAAGAGTGTTGCTGACGAATCCATTGTGATAATTGGCAATGGCGACAAGAGCAACGGGAAAGGCGATGGAAACGATATCAATGAAGGCGCTGCGGACACTGACAATGATGAGGGGGTGAGCGGGACGAATGGTGATGCAGAAATGGAGCAGCATCATCATCACCAGGAACAGCAGCAGCTACTTCAACGTCAACAAGGTGGTGGAAGACGCCTATTGCTACAAGGCGAGATCTTCAAGTTCCTATCTGATGCTTTGAGTTATGGCAGCAGTGGTGGCAGTAGTAGCGGTGCCAGCAACGTCAAATCTCCCCGACTTAATCCCTAGTTGATGTGACGCTTATTCTTTTTCATGCGTGCGTGCCCGCACTTGTGCGTGCGTGTGTGTACGTTGGAATGGCCTCAACTCAATTTTTCATACTGTCTATTTACTACTACTGAAACCTTGTCCCCCTTTATCGTGTAATAGGCTGATTGATTGTGCCTCATATTGCACCCGCCTCCTTTCCAATTATCAGTGTAAATTTTGTGGGTTGAGTGAGAGAATGCTGTCATGTGTATTACTATTACTACTATTATTACTACGCTCGCCGCACCTTTTAAAAGGCGAAGAACCAGACAATGCCCTTCTGCTTGTGCTCTGGTGGCTTAAAAGTTGAAAGCTAGTTTCTTTGGAGAGTAAACCGTTGCAAAAGTGAAATCTACATAATTTCAAGTGCTCCTTTGTCGTTTTGCACCGTAACCCAGAAGCGCTGAATTTTAAAAAGGTTGCTTCGAAACTTTATTCTTGAGGGGGAACGTGCCATGGCGTTAAAGATCCACTAGTGGACAGTGGCAATTGAAAGGAAATTAATGAAGTCCTCTGTCGTAGGTTGCCAGCTACTTGCAATCACTTGATTCATTGATTCCTTGCCAAAGACGGTTTATTTTCCATATCTGTCACAGGGACAACTCTAGTTGCTGCAGCCTTCTATATTGTCAAGGTTTGGTATTTGGGAATGACTATTGAGGTAGCTCTGCTACAGTAACGGGTTCGTATTCCTCTGAGACTTCTCAGGAAGCGAAGGAACAGTACTATGACAGGCTGTCAATGACTGATCCACTGGAAAGACAATGAGGAGCTGGGAGAGAACATCGACTACAAGAGCGACGCTCTGAGCTCTTAACAATTCAAGTCAAACCATGCAAATGAAGGAGCCGTAACGCGCTCTTAAAAATGGTTCTCTAATAGAGTTAAAGTTAGATAGAACATGGTGGTGGATGCGAGGGAAGAGGACGCTGGGTGCAGAACTTGAGCTGGGAGGAATGACGGGGAATTCAAAGTCTACGCTTATGCAGAAGTTTTACCATGTCTCTACAAAATAGCTTTTCCTACACCGTGAAGGTCTTCTTAATTAACAAATGTCGGTTCGCTTATTCGTTATCGCGCGGCGTTAAGCAAAATAGACCTACAAAATGCAAGGTTAAATAGGTGCGGTATCAGAGTTCCCTATTCTGATTAGCCAGTTTAAAATCAGCGCGGCAAAATTTAATTGAATCAACATCTCTAGCTCTTCCGCTTGCATTGGCTATTTCTCTTTGCCATAAAGAGTGGCAGAAAAATATTTGTAAATAATTGGTCAAGACTATTGGCATGAACAACACTGTTTTGTGTTCAATCTCTAATTTAAAATACGAGAATATAAATGATGTGTCGCATTAATTTTATAGTATGGACATTAACAGGAGGGCGCGAATTCCCATTCACTTTTTGGATGCAAAAAAGACATTTGGCTCTTATAAACTATTTGGACTACCACATCTATACCAATTTAGATCAGAGAGCAGGAGTGTTATTTTCCCAAGCCTTTGCATATGGCAATGGAAGGTACAAGGTGGGGATGGATACTTTCACCCAATTATCAAGTATAGATGTAAGGCTTTATTATGCCATGAGGTAACCGCCGAAATGGCCGCCACTCCCACAGTCAGCTAAAAACAAAACGTTGCATTGTCTGTCTCCTCTTTGGAGAGCTCTCCCTACTCCCAAAACATCTCCGCCTCAACAATTAAAGTCATATTCATTGATGCAAGAATACACTCATAACCATCCGTGTCAGCTTCAATCCTCCGCTTCTACGTAACTGAGGAAATGCACTAGACCTTCTCGGCACCTTTAGCTGGGTCTGGGTTACGCTCGGCAAAAAAAGGAATCAAGGCCTGAACTTTCGACTGACCATTATACGTGTTTGAGTCAGTTGCTGGAAACTTAGTGTATTACAGATTCGTAAAGGGAATTACGAATGGTAACGCTGTGATTGGGTTTGTCTAACCACCTTCATGTCTGACTGTCACTTTGGTATTCGTCATGCCTTCTGTACCATCCAAGCCAAGGTTCAATCATTCTCCTTCTCCTCATAAAAAAGTACGTGTTTAAACCAGCTTAATGCCTTCTTCAACCTAGTGGGGAGTCCCGGAGTTATCTAAAACCTTTTCTTGTGAAGTATGGCGTAAAGATACAGGCAACATCCATGAACGACTGCTCCAGACTGTTTACTACAGGTACCACTGCAGTTCTAAATAACTAGCTTGTGAAATCCGAAATTTGGTAGATATTCGTGAATGTATTGCGAATTTTGTCGCAAGTCCAAGTCAGTTTCTCTTTCCTATCTTACCAATGCACCATCCTTAGACATTTTGCTGGGCAGTGAAAGGCATAATGCTTGGCTGAATAGTTGCATTCTGAGGGAAAGGATTAAGGGATAAGTTTGTCATGGCCTGAAGGCTATTTAACACGGCTGAAGGCATGTGATCATCAAAGCGATGTTTCTGCAGAAATAAAGTTTTAGCTTTTGGATCTTAGCCTTCTGGCCGTCCTTATCATCCGACTTTTATCACTACCTGCCTGTTGGAGGTCCAATGCATGTGCTTTCCATTTGCCTACAATAAATGCTTTTCGTGAGCTGCTTTACACTTTGTAAAAGGAATAGCATATGGAGAAGCTTGCATGAAGATAAGCAAAGTATCTTTCAAAATGATTTATGAACTACTCAAATGTGGCACCAAGGGATGCATAGTGAGAACATGCGATTTTAAAGGCAGTTGGCGTTTTATCAAAGAAGTGAATGTTTGCCTTCTTCATAAGTCAGCATTTCCAATGCCTAAAATGGCGACGACAAAGAACATCGAGATTTCGCGAAAGACCGGACTAACGCCTTCAGAAAGTTTAACTACGCTTACCTTTAATTTCATTCTGCTCGTCGGTTTGCTCACTCGCACCAGTGGTGGTAGCGGCGGCGACGTTTTCAAAGGAGGAGCCTGCGTATTCGATTGATTTGGCAACTCGTGGCAATGTTTTTGTAGTTATCAAGACCGGTAATGAAGGAGGTGTCTTTGTAGAAATCAGACCAACAAGGGCATTGTGCAATATGCACGCAGTTGAGACACTGCTCTTCCACGTCGAGACGTGTCACGTGACGTGCGCATTTCCATTAGCATGGCCAAGGTCGAGTGTGTTGTTCATTCACACTCACTGCGGATTTAATCAACATGAAATGTGACTTTGGTGCAGTGTTACTTGCTTTAACATCAAATATGACATCCTCACAAGGCAAAACGTGAGTTGTTATACTTCGTTTGTGAATACTGCATTCCATCGCCTCTCTGGGCCGTGCCACAACTCTCAGACTGTCAGCATGCCCATGATGAGAAGCATCACCAAAAAAATACAGCCATTAAGTAGGGAAGGTGGGGAAGGTGCCAACCTGGACATGACTGTCATTAGGTCAAGTAATCTAATGACAGGTGCCCAGCTATAAGGCTCCACACCACTTTAGACAACGAGGGATTTCAATAGTTTTGTCCCGGAGGACGTAAACAAGTGCCCCAAGTGTCTCTGATCTCCTAAGACAATGCCAGGCAGACAATGGTAAAAGCCGCCATAGCAACCAACCAACCGACAGATAAGTGTGTGCACACAGCAAAAAGCACCGAGCCGAGGCTCCACAGCAGTCAAATTTACACGTCATTGTAGCGCCTGGTTAACCTCGTCCTTAGTGCGTGAGTGCAGTAGTGCATTTGACGATCATTGAAACGTGATCTCAGCTAATCAGGAGAGGCTGTTTTCTTGGTCTAAACGATGGTCGAGAAAGTACACACCTCAAAGGAAGGCGATAAAAACGTTGTCTTGGCGTTGCAGGCCTTCATTACCAGCAACATTTTCCCCATGCCCTTCAGACAGGGGCTTCGAATCGACGACTAAGTCCATAGCATGTGTCTGGGCAGACAGAAGGCAAGTTAACGTGATTTCTAACGTTGTACGCAAATTTCTAGAACATTCAGGCTTGAGGTGAAGACAGAAGACGAATTAAGGTAAGTTCACGGCATCACCTTTGGAGTGTGCCTACTTTTCCTTCATGTTTTGTTTAGGCCATCATCAAACCAATCGCCTTATCTGCAAACGCTGATGGAAAGAAGAAGTACAACTACGAGATTCTCAAATCATGTATTTGACGTGTGGAGAGGTCAAGTCGACTAGCCTTGTGAAATGCTCTCATCATTGGCATTCTCTTCTCAAATACACTCGTCTCGATGCCTCTCGGCATTCCCCACTCGGGGCTTTGCAGTCTGGGGCTGGTGGGTGAAGCCAATGACATTAAATTGTGGACTGTGTGGAAGGCTTCGAGCACTTCTGTTAAACTTGGTTGGCCATAATTGCTGCAGCATGACCAACACTGCAGCTGACCGCGGCGGCCGTATCTTCATTCCACCTTCTCCTTCAGTCCACTCCCTAGCAAATGTTGTCATTCGTTGGTGGCTACTAAATGCGTGTCATACATCAATTTTGACAGGCACATCTGCATCTGCCAAGTTCTTTAAGACCGTGCAAAATGACAACTCGAAGTGGTCGAACCATCAGAGCTTGCTGAAATGCGGACTGGATTGCAGTGACCCTAAAACTAAGTTAATCCACATCAATGCGCTTACCTCGTGAAAATGGACCGAAATTCTTCGATGCCTCACAAATCCAATGGTGAATTATGGCAAGTCGAGAAGCTAATGAAGAATTCAATGGTCATTGCTGGTCCTGTTGGCAAGTGTTGCCACAGAATGTTAACCAGTTGTAATGTCAGGTACGCTGCTAACACGTTGTTGAGAGGTGGCGCAGCGGATCCCGATGCTGGTGCCCGCATACCCACATGCGTGTTCAGTCTTGCGAGTGCACTCACCCGAGGTGTCAGCGAGGCGCACAATTGGTGGATGCGTTGTTAGGTCCACCGACTGCATTCGCGCGTGACAAATCAGGTGCAGTAACAGCAAATATTAACGGTGAATTACTTGCCTCACCTCCTATATGAAGCGGTTAGTGGATGCGGCCTGACGTGAACAAATCAACATTGGAACGGTCTCTCACGAATACGTTGCACCATTTTTCGGGAGCACAGTATGTCAATTTTTTTTTTCTACATCTCCCAACTCAACAAAATGCTGCACGTTTAAATCAGTAGCTTGTTTCCTTTGCTTGTTCATCAGTCTTTACACGCCTCCTAGGGGTTAAGACGAGAATGAAATTGGATGTGGAGCAGATCTCTGCCCCATTGATAATGACAGCTTCTTCACTTTTAGATGACGTGTCCTGAGGCTCAACGCACATTTCACAACGACCTACAGCACCTCGTCGCGACAATTGACGCCTCGACTGACGGTCAGGCGTCTATTGTCAGTAGCAATGCTTCGAGTGTCCGCATCTCACTGCAACCCAATTCCGGCCACAACGCGCACGCCGACTTTCGCATTACTGTAAAACGCAATTCTTGGCACCTTTTTATAATTCCATTCCTTCATTTTCCCTAGAAAGGCAATTAAACATTGCACATATTTATTTTAAAATCCATTGAGCAGAAATGGTTTGAACGTGGCATTCAACTTCAGAACACGTGATTACGCAATGCCCGCATACTTTCAGATCACCTGTAGCCCCGAATACCCTGAAAAGGTTCCCGATGTGTCCCTCGACACGCCCATATTCCACCCCAACATCGACCCGTCCAATGGTTCAATCCACCTGAGCCTTCTCAGCAATTGGCAACAGTGCGTTAAGTCCTGATTAACCACCATTTTACTAGTCAACTGAAATTATGTTTCATTCTACTAATCACTCCTTGCATAGCTCCTACAATCTGGTGGATCTGGTGACGGCGTTACTCGATCTTATTGTTCATCCCAACTTTAACTTTCCGATTAAGTCCTTCGAGATGCCCGATAATCCCGCCCAATTAGCCACCATAACAGCCAGAGCTCTCGCTGGACTGCCAATCGGTGAAAACTTCCACTTCCCTCCCAACTTCGCGTGGTGTGTGTGGGCTCGGGCCAACGGTTGCCTCCCCACGCAAGGAGAAGAGGAGGAGGAGGAGAAGGAGAAGGAAGAAGAAGAAGAAGAAGAAGCAGAAGAAGAGGATAACCAAGAACTGGAACAAGAGGGAGAAAAAGAGGTTGTTGCTAATGGAAGTGCTGACGGCTACGATGATGGTGATGATGATGATGATGATGATAGCGGAACAGGGAATATGGCAAATTCAAATAAGATGAATGGTGAAGAAACTGATGATTATACAGACAGTGCAGGATCAGAAGAAGAGGTTTGTTAAAATCCTGACCACCCTAGATAAATTAGCCTCTCAAATGCATAATTGCTATCCTGCTGATTTAGGAGTCCGTCATGGAGGTGATTGATGCATCAACTGGCACAATGTCTGATAGTGTCCCATCCTTTGCCAAAATTCGCTACTCATTCGACACCGAAGAGGAGACTGTTGACCAGAGTCAGTATGAAGAATACAAGTACAAGTATGGAACTGAATGCCATCGTGTCATAATTTGGCATCCCACAGGAGGTAACGAAACAGACACTCACACCGTGTTCTACTTCATTGAAATTTTGGGTGGTGAACATCATCAGGCTGAATTGGGCGAGAACTACAGAAGTCTCTTCATGGGTAGCGTTCTACGCGAATGGCAGACGCATCCGGAATCGCGACAAACGTCCAGTGCGTGTCCGTGGTGTGGGTTTTTCTGGATGTCTGGGAGCTCCTATTATCCGCGCACCAGCTGCAGTTCTTCCTTGAACCTTGCAAAGTTATTTGCACCAAATCAGCCTGTCACTAAGACCACTGACAATGAGAGAAACGCTATGGTTGTTAAGGCCAGTCCACATGAGGAGAGTTTTACATGCTTTTTGGATGATGAAGACGGTAGTGAAAGCGGAGGCATTGGACGCCTCTTCGATTACCCAAATTCAGACGACGGAAAGGCATCCCAAAACCAGAGTAAACCGCCGTCTCCATCTGTTTCGTCTCAAACATATGAGGAGGTGTTTGTGGCTCGCTCTCAAGTGATGAACTGCTTTGAGTGTAGAGAGACTTATTATCAAGCAAAAAATTACATTAATACTGATTTGACTCCTCAGTGGAACTGGATGTTTCGACAGACCCGGTGGCCCATTCGACTTGCACCGCAGCAGACCGTCGCACTCTCAACGAAGGGCATTCACATTCCACCGTGGCGAATCAGCTCAGGTCAAATGATCGCGGACATCTGTCGCTTTTGTACGAGGAATCAAAACACAGAGAATCTCGTTTTGCTCGATCCCATGGTAAATCAATCCATTTAAGTAGTTCTACTTAATATTTTTGTCGACTTTTGGAGCTTCATAAATGTTTGAGCGTCTAATTATTAGTGTGAAGTGATGCATACGCATTGTTGTTTATATACAGGCGTTGTCACCGCTCTCGCCCCTTCTTAATCTGGTCCGCCACAGAAGGCTGCCGAATCCCCATCTCACTGGCATTCTCTGGATGACACCAATCAACGCTCTCTCACCCTTTTATCAGGTGCCCATCCCTATTAGGGAGGAGCAGGAGGAACTCGAGGAGGATGAGAATGGAAAAGAGGACCACGTCTACCCCTCACCCATCTGTCTGCGCTTCTTAGCAATCACCGCCTTTCTTACAAACTGGGTGGCATGGCTGTCACGAATGGAGAACTACGCGGCTCTTGGTATGTCAAGAGTTTATCCGAACGTCATTAGTGCTCCAGTGGCAGCGCATTTGCTACAGCCTCACAGCCTGGGCTGCGGACAGGCGCCTCTCGTCGACCTCTGGCCCATGTGGCTATTACGCCAACTTCTTACCCTCTCTCTGCAACTCCCCCAACTCCGATTGCCCTTTTATCAACAGAATCACCACCGTCTGCGACATCTGTTTCCCTTTTCCAACCTTGATGAGATTTAAAGCTATCCTTCTTTCGACTCATCTGTCAGCGACCACTACACAGGCAAAGCTGGAAGGAGTGTGAGAACGTGAACGTTCTGCTGAACCCCATCCACTTAACTCTCACTCAGTACGTAAAAAAGAAAACACTCACCGGCTGGGCCATGAAAGGAGGCTAGTCGAAACAGTGTCGTTGGAGTTTCAACATAAACGCCAGAGAATGCTTGTTTTAGTAATGGACTTCATAAAGTTGTTTTACTGGTCACATATGAAAGTTGGTGTTTGATGCAAATGGTTCTCGCAGGACGCACTGACTTCACTCCTCTCTCTCTTTTAAAACGGAAGGAGTGCGTATGGGTAAAAAGAAGGTTTAGTACACTACTTTACAATAACAAGGGCGAATTCTTCTTTGTTTTTCGACAGAAAATATTTATCAGAGCTCATGTAAATTTACAAGATGGGAGCCATTAAGGACGTCGCTTGGCGTCACAAATTTATGCAAAAACCGAAAAGGAGTAGAAACCTAGACTTTTATTCGGCTATAAAAGCATCACATCTCTTTCTTAAGGCTTTAGAGGGGCGGAAATGTGCTGAATAAAACAGTTACCACCAATCGTTGCTCACAATCTGTTGCTGGGATGGAAGAGGCACAGTGCTAAAGAGGAATTCGGTTCTCGTCACAAAACTGAGACTGTAACCGCCCTTAAGGAGCTCCTATTGTGCTTACTACAAATCCGTCTAGTTTCTCGTTTAGAAGAGGTCGGGATTACAAAAGGAACAGATTGCTAGCTCATTATTTTTAACAGTTTTGGGCTTCCATTTGAACTTTACACCAGACTGTGGAGGGCAGACGCATTAAAAGACGGTGAAAAACTTGTTCCATTAGTCACATTTCGAGATGTCATGCTAAATTAATCTTATCCTTATGTTTATCACAAATAGACTGCTAAAGGAAACTTTCATCAGACGAATTCGAGTTGACTCATCACGTGACGTCAGTGGACCAATCAAATTGTCATTTTGGATGTCGATGAACAACAGTAGCCCATCTAAGAGTAATATCAGTCAACTTCAAGCTCATTTTGTCGTTACTTAATCAATGATGCAAAAAAGTGAGAAACACTACCCACGAAACCTGTCCCGCCGTGTAAATGTTCACATAAAATCACAGCCGTCTGTTCCACCGGGTATTCGTAACTGCATTCAGACTGAAGCCTTTATTGTTATCAGTAGCTCCTTGGGTGGTGGTCGACTGAGAGGAACTTGCCACCGTGCATCGTGATTGTCTGAAACCATTCCTAGTTGGTACTTTTGTGGTAGTTTGGATTCCTTCGCATTGAGGGTCAGATAAACTTATTTACAAAGGGGAAGTAGATGCTCCTAATCATCAATACATCGTTCTGCCAGCCACTTTCATTATTACATAAATGAGGAAGAGGTGTTTGTCTTCTTCTTTGTAACAAGGCTAGTGAAATTAATGGATATCTTGATGGCTGTTTTGCTGCAGACAGGTGATATTAGTAAGCAAACTTTCAACAGAACCTCAAAGCATGAGTAAATAATTCGACATCTAGTCTGGAGTCAACCATATAAAAATTCCATTCTCCGCTTCTACTTTAAGCACGACAACTGACACCCTTCATTCAATACCTTTAACTTCCTGGAAATACGAAAATCGTGGTGGTCATCGATAAATAAGGTTAAAAGCAATATTAATGCTGCTTTACCGTAGGCATGACATCTGCTAAGGACATGCGGAACTTGAGAAAAGCTATACTCAACTTCTCGGTTAAGCCGTCATCACTTTTGCACTGTTTGTTTTCATTTAATTGCCTTCTCCACCTTGACCGGCTTCATTTAGCACTATATCAATAGTCAAATAATAACTGCGAAGGCTTATTAATGGTCGCCACCTTCGGATCCCCATAAAAGTCGAAGTTGGCGGAAGTGGATCGCGTATAGGAACCAGTGATGTGAGGTGATAAACGGTTTAGTTTGTGCCTCTCCATTCAAGTTACCTCTCTATCCAACTATAACGGAATTTTGTGCCCTGGATTCAATCCATTTATCGACCGACCAATTGAACGCCTCATTGGACAGATGTGCTTTGAGCGAAGACACCAAAGCAGATGTCCTTATTGATTTATCGACTATCAGATTGAAGAGATTAGCGATGCAATGCTCACTGAGATGAATGCATCGCTTCCAAACAGATTTGTTCCGCCTCCAACTTTACCCATTGTGTGAGGGCATTTTGATGCAGTCCTGATTTCAATCTTATGCGTCAGAAGATGAGGGGACAAGATTCTGTGTCGTACACGTTTAATTTGTCCTACAAGGAAGAGAGTCGCGGCTACACCGAGTGTAACTCTCAACGCAAACCTACGAAGAGCTAAAGAGATACAGCAGAAAACTACAATCAGTGTTTGCAGTATCATCATATTTTTAGAGAAATGTGAGACGAGTAATCTGGCGAGACCGCTCGTCCATTATGACAAAAGTCGCCAAGACTTAAAGGTGAGGATAATTTTACTAACAAGTTAGTAGCACAATCTTCGACTTAGCTGATTCTTAACGCCCTCGTCGTTTTAAACAATTCAGCGAAAACTAACAATAAACCATGTTTTCGCTAAACTGCATGACGCAGGTAGAAGTAAAAGATGGCAATGGTCCATTTAAGTGAAAAGCGATTCGAAAATGCTTTCTCGACAGTGTAGTTACTACATTGCCAGCCCTTTAATGGGCCATTATAAGAACAATTAATTTTGATGTCAGGACGGCGTAGAAAAGGATGCATTTGACAAGAATATAGAAGAGGATGTCGGTCTACTAGTGTTTGTCAGTGATCGAAAGTTAATGTACAGAAGATGAGTTTGCAAAATCGGACAAATGTGCATATTATTTGTTTTTTAATGTAGAAAGGCTGCATCTGGCATCTTTCTCCTCATGGCTTTGTTAAGTAAGAGGGGTTTGACAGGTATTGGATGTCTCCAATGTAAAAAAAGGGATATGGATTGAGATGCATTAACAGAGGGCTGGGACAATACCGAAAAGGACCTTCGCACATTAGCTCGTATGCGACCCGGTAGTCGGATGAGAATGTGATACACTTCAATCACTTGTCCAACGTCTTGCAATTTTTCAGATTTTGCACGAGCCTAGGACATCGAAGCTCTTGCATAAATCGGTAATTCAGTAACCTTAAAAATTTGGACTGTGATCGGCATGAAAGTACTGAAATCACCGTTTTAACGACTTTGGATTTCAGAAGCTCTGCCTCTTCCACTTGTGCGAGTAGACAAATATAACACGAATTGTGGAACACTTAGACTTTGCATTGTATATATAAAGGCATTGAGTTGGACTAAATTAATGTATTCAGGGAAGAGAAAAGGGATTAAACTCTGGACTAACCGGTAGGCCAGTCCTGGTACACAAGAACAAGATGTAGGGACAAGTAAACGCCAGTCAAACAGACGGTCACACCAACAGTCCCACAGTCATTTGCTTCAGGGTCTTAGCGCTCTCCTTGATCCATCCCCCATGCTAGCCATTACAAAACATCCCCTACTGCAAGAAAGCACTCACTAGCCAGCCACACCACTCGTCACCTTCCTTCAGATCGGGAGACTGTACTCAACCTTCCCAACAGCATCAACTGAATCAGGAGCTGCGTTTGGTCTGAGGCAGTATCGTAGAGAGGATTTTGTTAACCATCAATTGTGTCCAGGATTCGATGGTAACCATCAAGTCTGGTGTCGGCACTTCCCCGACAAAACCCCTCCATAGATGTCGGAGACGACATTACAGTTCTCCTTCCATACGAAACAGTGG